ATAAAAAATATTTTTTGTCCGATTCATCGATTAATCGAAAAAATAATCGGCCGATTCATCGATTTTTAAAATAATCGTTAGTTGCAGCCCTAAAGTAAATTAAGTACCTGAACATCAATCATTTGTCAATTAAGCCAAAATGTCAATGGGCAATATTCCCTGCTGGTTTTCTGAACCGTTCATATTCCACGTCTTTTCTCCCAGTAAGCAACAGTGAGCTTGTTGAGCCACACAGTAACACAAACATCTGTCTGTGAAGAAAAATAGCCTGCCTTGCAGATTTTGTTAAACACCTAAACATGTTTGTTCATCATCTTTCTCCAGCAGACATGTGTCTGCCCTGCTGACAATGCAGGCGCAAACAGGAAAGACATTGTTTAGACATATCACATTAAAGCAGCACACGAGAACAACAAATGCTTCTACCAGCAGTTCTGGTGTTTTACAGTAACCAGGTGCCACCAGGAGGAATGCAGGGCAAAAATTTATTAATGATTTAAAAGAGTTTCACTTTGTGTTCAAATAGTTTGATTGTTTTTCTTTGTGACCTTCCAGGGAGAGCCAGGACCACCAGGGATTCAAGGAATACCCGGAACAAAGGTATATGGATTTAATAGCTTACTTTTAATTATTATTTTCTACTCTTGTCAGTTTGATTTAGTTTATTTATGAAGTTCTAAATTCCAAAACACTTTGGAGTCAATTGATATAGATTTCAGGAATTTAAATATCAGGCTCTTGGGAAAAAGCCATCAGGTCTTAGGTTTCAAAAAACTTCTCAGGTCTCAGAAAAATTATTCAACAAATCATGAGGGATTTTGATTTTTGAGACCTGACAGCTTTTTTCAGAGACCTGAGAACGGGTTAATCCCAGAGACCTCACAATTCTCACTCTAAGACCTGACAGCTTTTTTCAGAGACCTAAAGTAACTTTTCTCCAAAAAAATTTGATTTCCTGCGACTTGAGAACTTTTTTTTCCTGAGACCAGACATATTTTCTCCTGAGACTTATCAACTTTTTGCCTGACACCTGGGAACTGGTCTAAATCTGTTTTAAGCCCCTGTCCCACCTTGGCGATTTAGGCAATGTATGCCTGACGTACAAAAAATTTGGCAAAAAAGCTGGCATACCTTGGATAAGTTATGGGTATATTTTGTATAAGTTATGAGCACGCTGAAACACACTGGCAGACATTGACATACGGCAAATACGTAAGCTGATGTATGCCAGCGTATGCTCATATGTGGGCCATAAGTCCAGGTAAGTTATCTGATTGTTGTCATACGTTAAGTGTAAGTTACTTATATGTCGTGGCGTCTAGCTTCTCCAAAACCTGAGTAACTTATGCTTAACTTATCAAGAACTTATCTCCAATGCACATCGACACATCTGACGCATTCCAGACGACCGCTGAACGTGTTTCTAACTTCCAGCTACTGTTTAAAAGCGTATTAGCAGTGTTTTTGGTATAAATGGGGTTCACAGGAGGGAACTGTCTCTCCTCCAGACTTCATGCCCATCATAGGGTGAGCCAGAAGGTGAGTGTGATGGACACTCCCTGGTTGACGCCCACGACCAACAAACACACATGACGCTGAATCTGCTGCCAAAACCTTCTTTTTTTTTTCTTTTTTCTTTTTTTTTATTTATTTATTTTTTTGCCGGATGGTAAACAGCAGCTAGGCTAATACCACGATCAAAGGAATCCTTTTATGCAGGCCAGACCCCTCTGGGTGATTTGCTGCTCCGCGATGCACCTGAGGGGAGCAGCTTTAACTGATGCTTCGTAACGCCCATGAAATGATGCTTGTACATCATTTCATGGGCATAAGGCTGGACTCGTTATGAATACTCTATGTATACGCCCAAAATTGAAATTAATACATAGAAAGTTCAGCGTCAGAAGATTGTAGGAATTTGGGCATATGCTGGCTAAATCAGCCAGGTGTGACAGGGCCCGTAGCCCTGGCGCTAGATGTCATATTGATTCCCAAGTAAATTAGGACATGTAAGCATCTAACTTGCATGTCTCTTGATAGAGACAGTCTGGCAAATATCTCAGTGCATTTCTTAAAAAACTTTAAATTAATGTCTAAACAGCAATAATATGTTAGCCTCGTGAGACCATCCTGATCTCGCGAGCTTTCAAGGTTTCACTCGCAGATCAGTCTGGAGACTCTCCGTTGAAGAAAATTTGGAGCCGTTCACCAAACAAACATCCAATCAGCGTTGGCTTTGAGGCGAGTTGAGGTGTGACGCAACGAGAAGCGCGACAGTTCAGTCTAAAGAACATGGAGGCTTCAGCCGATGAAACTAGCGTTAGCGTGGCTATCGAGCAAGTTTTATCGGAATTACAGAGTATTTCTTCACTGAAAGAAGAGCAAAACACTGCTCTGGAGGCTTTTCTCAGAGGAAAAGATGTTTTTGCTTTTCTCCCGACTGGTTTCGGCAAGAGTTTGATCTATCAATTGGCTCCTCTTCGTCGCCGCTCTGTTGTTACGTCATATGCTTCGTTGATCTGATTGGTTTATTTGGCCCGTCTATCACCAACATAGGCCAATCAGCTAACCAGTATTTTCGCCCCTTCCCAAAATAACTTCTACGGAAGGCTTCCAGATGGATATGCGGAGCAAATCCATCTGGCGGAGTCAGGTTAATAATAAGTGGGAGTACAATGCTTTTTGACCTCTGTGTTGATTCTGACAGTGAGGATTTGAGGGTTTTGTCATGAGTAACAGGTCGAATCTACAATGTTTAGCTTTAATCATCGCTAACCAAACATCACTTTTTTTCCCTCAGGGCTCACCAGGGCCACGTGGACAGCCAGGTTTACCCGGGGACAGGGGACCCCAAGGGGAGGGAAAAGAGGGACCTCCAGTGAGAACCGACATTTGAGCCAAACTAATCCAGTTTCACTTCATTGGACTGCGGATATCTAAATGTTACTCTGTTTGTTTCTTCAGGGGCCTCCAGGAAAAAATGGGGAGCCAGGACCTGCGGTATTCATATACACAATGGTTTAGAGAATATGTCTGGTTTCTGTCCTCTTTCTTCAGTTTGTGTGTATCTGAATTTCAGGGACTGAGAGGTCCACCGGGGGTTGCAGGTCCCCAAGGCCCAGCAGGCCACAACGTAAGTTTAATTCCAAATAGTGACTCACAAAGTTTACTTTCATTCCAAAAATGTCACCTTTCATTTGAAAATAAAATGTCCAATTTTTACAATGTTATTCTATTAAACTTGGTGGATGGTTTGTATTTAACACACAAATAAAATTCAGACTGTGTTGGTTCTGCTAAAAACTTAGGGTTTACCAGGAAGGCCAGGAGAAAAAGGATCACAAGGAGAGCCTGTAAGTATGCATGTTTATCCCCTTTTCACTGTCTGAATCTGATAGTTCTTTGTTAGTTAAAAGTATCTTTTAGATTTGTCCTTGCAAAGGGTATATATTCCTATGATCAGGGTAAGACATGCAAATGTAATTTTCCCATATCTTAACTTAATTTTTTTTCTTGCAAAAGAGGGTTACTTCTGGATTAGAACTCTTTAAAGTGGTTTAACAACTAAATGGCTTCCAAAAAGCACAGGATTTAGTTAGAAATAGTATACTTAACTTACTTTGTTAGGTTCCCATTTTCTATGAACTGGACCCAAATGCTAAAACACTTTCAGAGTTCAAAGAAGGTCTGTCGCTCTCAAACATTATTTACAGAGCTTTTTAAAGTTAGCACATTTCCTTTGCCAAGAAAATGCTTCCACCTCTCAGGTATGGTGTGTCACTTTGCTGATTAGACAGCATGATTATTGCAGAGGTGTGCTGTAGGCTAGAAACAAAACCTAGAGTTAGACATGCAGTTGGACTTGATTAAAGGGGTGGCCAAGTGATGGTAAGATGGAGCCTCTCAAATTCCTGAGGATTTCCATCCAATTGCTTGACGCTAAAGTCTTGGCATCAGGACGGTTCATTTGCCCTATGCTGCAACCAAGTAGACAAAAGATAAAGCTGACCAGGAGATGCTGCTTCTCTTTAGATCTTATTGGCCACAAACTATGACAGAAACAATATTTTAGTACAAAGAGTGATGTTTCAAAAAGGAATTGTAGGGGACCAGTTAAGGACCAGCCAAGGGGAAATTTTAAATGGCGACTACTGTAAAAAGGAAGACAAGCATGGAGTTTCTGAGACAGTTTCTGCTAAACTTCTTGAGTTAACCTATGCGAGCGGCTGTCAGGAGGAAAAATATGTTTGGCACGAGATCATGGTCTTGTTTTGTTACCCAATGGCTGCTTTTAGACTGCTTTCAAACACAACCCATATTGAACTTGTTGCCCATATGAGACTCGTATCAGAATTGTCCATCAGAAAGCCCCAGTTCCGATATGTTTCACTTGTAATTGTGTTGCTTTCATATATAGCATAAAATCAGACATGTATCTGATAGTTTTAAAAGGGTCTGAGGTCTGAAAGCTCTCTTAGGTTATCATCCAGACTCTCCCTCATGCAGACTCCTCTCTAGCCCAGCAGTCACTGCTCCACTAAAACACATTGTAAATATTTCTGCACTCTCTTTCTTATCCAAGCCTTGCTATTATTTGTTTATAATATTTTCTGCTCCTATTGTTCAACAACTTAAAATAACTGTAAGATTAAAATATTCACCATACTTGTATCTCTGCTTCTGTCTCCTTGAACCCCAGTCGGCCTCGGCAAATGGCCGTTCACACTGTGCCTGGTTCTACTGGAGGTTTCTTCCTGTTAAAGGGGAGTTTTTCCTCTCCACTGTCGCTACAAGCATGCTTAGTGTGAGGGATTGCCTTCGAGTCAATGATTCGACGCAATCAACTGGTTTTCCTTAGATAGAAAACTTTAAATCAATCTGACTGTATGATCTGGTGAACTATAAAGTGCCTTGAGATGACATGTGTTGTGAATTAGCGCTAAAGAAATAAACTGAATAGGGGGTTTTCAGTGACGTCACTGGCCAGCTCCCGGCCCGCCATCTTGGGTGGCATATTATCGTATATCATATATATCATGTCGCGAATGGATAAGTACGCCAGCACGCTAGAGCCACCAGATCATGGAACATATCTGAGGAAATGTTCCGTGATCGACCATATGGACTCCTATGCCCTCCACGGTGCCTTG